ATTTGGTCAGATGCTATGTGAAAGTAAAAATTTTTAGACAATATGACTAATCATGTAATTGCAACTCAATCATGCTAATTTATGCTTTTATATTAATGTATAAGAATAGCAAAACTTAAAACTAGTTTTCTTTTTTTAATTAGGTTTTGATATACAAAAACTAAAACCAGGTATAAACTCTAAAGGTAGTTTTATTGATTTTCTTATACTATATACATTATATATACCAAAAAGGTAATACTAATATCTGATATATACAAATATACGTATATACATATGTATATTTGTACTATATGTACATGATCATATTACAAACTTAAAAAAAGAATATAAAATATTTGTAAGATTTCATTTGAATGAATTTGAGATATATTCAACAAACAATTCGCTATTAAATAACATATGTACTGTACGTATATACCTTTTTTTGAACAAATAATAATAAGCTTTATACGTATGCAATTTTCAATCAAATAAAATTATCTATTATGAAATTTCAAGACATACACCTATAATATTAAGCATAAAACTGTAATCTAAAACTATAATACATGCTACACTATGGAACAAAAGGATCACATATTATTACTCTTACTCTTTATCACTTGTTTGCTCTTCATTACTTGTTTGCTCTTCATTTGTTTGCTCTACATTCTTTTTAGAGTATATGACAACGTTATGACCTAGTTCTTTGCAATAACCACAATGATTTTGACCATGCTTCTGTTTTTCATGTATTGATTTTTTATTGTATTTTTTATCCCCTTATGTGACTTGTTATGATGAACTGATTTAGGTCTATCTTTAATAGTAATTTTATGCAGATTTTTAAGTTGAACATTCTTTTTATCTGAATTACTATCTAAATTTGAATCTTTATGCTGTCTGTTTATTTGAATAAGATTGCTTTCATGTTCACATATATTTGCTAAATAGTTTTTAACAATAGTGACAAACTTCTTATTACAGTATAATAAATATTTTTGTGTAACTGTACATGCCAAGCCTCATACTCTTCTATAGAATAACAATTCTTTATCAAAATTTTCATTTTCATTATGATTTTGTTCACTTATATTATTAAGTAGTTGAATCTAGTTAAACCTCTGATTATACCTATTCTTATTATTCTTCATAATACTATTAACAAATCGTTGCTTGAAATGATTACGTTCATTTGTTACCTCATAATGATATTCTTTAGGAATCTATCTAAGAGCAATAAGCTGCATATTAAATCAAGCAGTTTGTATAATATTTAATAAATAAAAAAAGTATCGACAAATAAGTTCCTTTTTTTGTTGCAGTAAATATATACAACAATATAATCCGTCTTTTAAGCAAAATATAACGTGGTTTATATTAAAACTTGTAACCTGAAAGATGTTTCAAACTTCAATGATATTAATATTATCTAATTGTTGTAAAAGAAATTGAGCACACATAGTTACACTATCAAATTTGTCTTCAAGATACTCATGTTAAGATGGCTCATTTACTGGCATACTTTTGATATCTTCAATACTAGAATGAGTTGCTGTATAATAAATGCTTTCCTTCATCTGATTAATCAAATATTGCAAGACATTTGGCCTTAAATAATATCTAATGAGTGTTTCAATAGTTGGAAAAACTATAATAGTATTGGTTGTTAAAGAAATACTTCGCTCCAATCTTCAAAATCTTTTTGCTTTGTCTGTCCTTCAATTTGATTTATAATAACCTTGCTGAGTTCACAAAGAGAAGTATTACTATTTTCAAGAAGGTGTTTTATGCAGGCATTCTGGCTTTTTACAAATGATGTTGATTCGATTCCAAGTGTAAATAGTATTGTCAAAAACCCACGTGCTCATGATTTATGTCTTTCATATAAATGATTTTTAAGGTATTGTAATGTAGCCAGGTAATTGGTAATAATATCTTTCTAATAATAGTTAAAAATTTCAGGAAGATCACTGTTTCGATATTGCCAAAATGCTAAATAAAAATCAGAAAATGCATTATCTAACTTTCCACAAAATGCTTTTTTGAGATTTTCTTTTATATGCCAAATACAGAGAAGGTATTAAACCTGTGGATATTCAATAGTAATCACATATTCTATGCTGGAATCCTTGTTAGTAATTATTATATTAGGTGTTCTCTCTTGTGTTGCTTTTTTTGTCATGTGTAATACCTATTCATATAAATCACTGGTCTCGTCACTAATTAAGGCTTGTACTACAATTTAATACTACATATTATTGTCTAATACAACAAAAAGTAATAATGACATGTTATATCAGTTTGTGCCTGTAGTATTGTTATGCTCAATAGAGTCTCCAAATTCAGACTATAACAAAATCTGATTTGGGTTTATCCAAAAAAGACCAACAAATGTATATGTATCAATTTTTCATTTTACTTCTACAAACTACCCAGGGTCTTCACGTTGCTTAGCTAACAAATTTTCATAAAACTGGGCAGCATCACCTTCCATTAATCATATAGATGGTTTGTATCTTTTAATCTCATTATAGAGATCTTGAGAATAAATTAGATGTGATGGATATTTTTGACCAAGAATCTGTTTAATTGTAGTCACACCAAAATTATATTTTTTCACATAAAACTCGCTATTATCACACATGTCTTTTGTAAACACTTTTAATTTTTCAAACTGTAATGCTTTAATGGACATTTCGTAGGTATGTTTATTCTCTAAAATTGTTACATAGATGAGAGAATTGCTATTGTTCTAAAGTGGTTGTAAAAGATTAATGTACTAGTTACAACCTTGTTTAATAGAAGTTCTGAGATTTTCTGGATTTTTTGCTTTATACTGCCCAGAATTCTAACAATAAATCATTCTTTTTCGTATTATTTTTTCTGGTTCCATTACAGTAGACCGACTCAACCATATCTTAAACCCTTTAAAATCTACATACTGTTGTATTTTTTCCTCTGCACATGTAAAATCTTTAAATAAATCACCAACTTTTACTAAAATTGCATTTAAAGTATCTGTATTCTTCTTATTAAAACATAATTTTTTAAAAGAACTATTGCTTTCTTCATTTACTTCACCTAATTCATATACATCATCTGATTCAATTACTTTTTCTGATTCATATACTTTGCCTAATTCATTTACTTCGCCTAATTCATTTACTTTGCCTGATCTATTTATTTCGCCTGATTCATTTACTTTGCCTGATCTATTTATTTTATCTGGTTTATTTACATCACCTGATTCATTTACTTCACCTGATTCATTTATTTTTTCTGATTCATTTATTTTGCTTGATCTATTTATTTTGCTTGATTTATTTACTTCGCCTGATTCATTTACTTCACCTGATTTATTTACTTCGCCTGATCTATTTACTTTACTTGATCTATTTACTTCCCCTAATTCATTTACCTTACCTGATTCATTTATTTCACCTGATTCATTGATTTCACGTGCTTTGCTGATATATCCTATTTTGCTTACTTTATATGCTTTTCTAACTTCTTGTATTTTGCTTACTTCATATGCTTTACTAATCTCTTGCATTTTGCTTACTTCACATATTTCGCTGACATCATGTATTTTGCTTACTTTTTGTTTACTTCACGTTCTTTGGTTACTGTGTCTACTTTTTAACTTCGTCTTCCTTATTTTAATTTTTTTTCTTCCTGTCTTACTTCGTTTACTTCATATTCTTTGGTTATTATACCTACTTTGTTAACTTCGTTTTTCTTATTTTGATTTTTTTTTCTTTGCTTTGTTTGTTCCATTCGTTCTGTCTTACGTCGTTTATTTCATGTTTTTCAGTTACTGTGTTTACTTTGTTAACTTCGTCTTCTTTATTTGGATTTTTTTTTCTTCGCTTCTCTGTTTGTTCTGTTTATCTAGCTTTATTTGGTCTGTTTGTTTACAATATCATGCTACTTGAACTGCAAGAATAGTATAACAAGCTATCAGGAGTTAAGCAGCTAATACTATTTGTTTATCTGTTACTATTTTGATGTATAGCCTAATATGCATGTACTTGGGAAGGTATTTCTCTATTATGTATTACTGTAAATATTGTTTCTAATTTTCATTTATATTATATACTAACAACCAACTAACCTTTTTACAAGAATAAATTTTATTTTATACTAATTTGATATGTGTAACAATTTTGTGTAATATTTATTTATTTAACTTTTAAACTATGATATACTATTATTTACAATTTGTACTACTAATGCACTGCGATGTATGGTGTACTCTTTACTAATTTTCTTTTAATAAATCTTTAATATTAAATAACTTTTGATCTACTGGTCTGATTTGGATGATTTAACTGTCAAAATGTTAGTCTTGATGAGACGATTCTAATGAGTCCAAAATCACTAAAATCTAATCACAGGATCCTGAGATCGTTAAGGTTTCTTGTACTATTTTGTATATAATAAAATTAATTTTATTATATACAAAATAGTACAAAAATCTTAACGATCTCAGGATCCTGTGATTAGATTTTAGTGATTTTGGACTCATTATAATCGTCTTATCAAGACTAACATTTTGACAGTTAAATAATCCAAATCAGACCAGTAAATCAAAAGTTATTCAATTTTAAAAATATTAAGAAGATTTTTAATAATTAATTAAATTGGCCAATCAGAATCAAGCTA